TGAGTTCTCTCGCTTCAGAGTACTTGGAAGGGTTTGACCGTGCGCACAGACGTGTCAAAGTGTTGTTTGGGACCACCTGTCACATTGTCACAGGCGTGACACACACTCTTCTTACCCACGACTGCACGCAAAAAAGGCGGGCAAACCTGTTTCATGCTGTTTCATATGAGGGTTTGTTTGTACAAAAAATAAAACCCGCACCGCGAAAGAGGTTTTCCCGCGCGCGAAAGAAACTCTCCCCGCGCGAAAGACTAAATAATAAAAATGCGGATTGAAAAAATTAAATTACAGTACACCGACTGGCATACCAATGCCCCTAAAGCAGAGGTTGATGTTGCTGTCGCAGCTGCAGGCCAATGGAGGTCCATTAGGCAAATGCTTGTTCGACCGAAGTCACTCGTAAGTTCAAACTCCGACTCAGATCACGACCGTGATCTACAATACTGTACTACTTAGTACTATTTGATTGTGATGAATCTATTTGGTTCTTGTGGTGGTTGCAACGAGCTTTTGCGGCCCAGATAAGCGAAAAGATGTAAAAAAAAATACTTCGGCACCTGCCGGATCACCATTTGTTGTAATTTGATGTGAGTGCCGAGGAATGAACATGTTGAAAAATGAAAATTACGACATACAAGTTATAGGCACCGCTGGAATGCCTATCGATGGGGTGAATGCCTATTGTCCAACGCAAGAAATTGATGAGCTATCAATCCCACAAGTCCCTCCTTGAACAGCATTAAATATCCCTGAACCCTAACACTAACTGCTAACACCAACCACTAACCTCTAACCACCAATCTCTAGCCAAAACCTCTAAGCAGAACCACCACAAACCCCTAACCCGGTAATGCCGGCACGAATGATGCGACTGACGGCCGTGCGTTGATCGATAGGCATCAATAGGCGTTCGGACGCTTGTCGGACGCCGTTCCGAAAGCCTATGCTACTAAAGTTTTCGTGCCAACATTATGGGTGAACCTACGGTCAAAATAGCACAGTAGTCTGTCAGTAGTAATTGACATGCGGTAGTGAATGCAGTTAGTCTGCATGTATGGTGCATATATATTTCCTCTTTCGCGTGCCAGGACTTCTTTCGTGCGGACCGGTTTCTTTCGCGCGCGGGAAAAACTTCTTTCGTGCAGGAAAACCTCTTTCGCGGCGTGGGTTTTATTTTTGGTACAAACGAACCCTCATAGATTCACCGTATATCTCTTGACCCCAAACCTTTTTAAGATCTCGTGGGTATCGATTGATGCCCCTACATCGACTTTTCATCCGGAACAAAGCTCGTCTTGCTCCCACTTTGGCTGCTACATTTCCTGACATGAACTACGTCCCAGTAACATTCCAGGAATCTCTGTAGTCGCCACATGCAGGGCAGAGGAGAAAGTATCGTTGAACGCCTTGAAAATGGAACAGGAAACTCGACTGGGTTCGGTGTGTAACAATACGACCCCCACGCACTAAGTCACTAATCGTTTCGTTCAAGGCCCAGCCTACTAGCTGTTTGGCATCCCTCCCCCTGTCTTCATTAGCACCGCACCTCACGCATTGGTGCCTCACACCACGGGGCGGTATCGAACGGCCGTGCCTGCTCGGCCGTCGCAGATCCAGTTGCGTCATACCTTGCGCGACGTCGAGGAACTTGCAGCTAGCGAAGCTTTTCGGAATGTGGGCTAGTTCCAGTAAGGGGACGCATTGACTGCACTCACGCGTCTCCAATTGCTAGACCGTTTCGACTCGCCGGATTCTATATCTGCAAGAGCTTGCGATAACCTCGAGGTCTGCCGCATTCAACCATACGTCCGCCCCCTTGATATGGCATTAGACTGGAAGGTTATCATATTAGCAGATGGGTTGTGCTGAGACAGCGTGCATTTTCGAAGTCACCGAACAGAAAACGACACCTAGCACGGCACAGCCTAGGATATGGACGCACCAGTGGTGTACGGAACACGCGCCGCTATCTTGTCAGACCTGTGATAACGTGTCGGCGAGAAGGGGTTCGACTCCCCCTGGTGCACTCCAAGGAAGATGCAGGCATTTTTTTGGAGCCTAGCTGACGGAATGTGCCACCCTGTTTAAGCCTGAAAGTTGTCGGAAAGTTGTTGGCGAAATGGAGCCTTGGGGCAGCATGAATTTCTTGAAGTCATACCGCGGGAAATACGACACCTAGCATGGATCAGCGTAGGACAGGGAACGTACCAGTGGTGTACGGAGCACGCTACGTCGTCTTCACGCCTCGTTCATGTCCCTTCGATGCCGGCGAGACGGCGTTCAACTCCCTTGGTGCACTTTGATTTTCAATTTTTTTTTGTCCCGTAGGCGGGTGTGGCCATGGGGAGGTACCGGGGAAGCTAGCAGGGGTGGGATCCAGTAAGGGAGAAATTTCACCTAGCCCGGGGAAAGACGTACAGCAGCCACCCTCGCAAAGCAAAGGAGAATCAGACGTACGCAAATGCCGTAAATCCCAGTAGTTCAAGAATGTACAAATCTCGCCCTGTTGAGAAAATAAACTCCGCGGGATCGCTCGAGATGCACTGCCCGAATGCACCTATGGAAGGCGTGCCTGCGAGGTCGGCCTCCCCCGGCAACTGCTTACCATTCCACTGTCGAAAAACATCTGAAGCGATGCCCTAAATGTCTCAGCGGAACATGTATCCTCTGCCCCTCCAGCCCCCTTCCGCGCGCGCTATTTTCACCCCACCCCAATCGTCAGCAGGTGCTCGCGCTGCCTGCACGGCGCCTCCCGCGTCGCGTGCACAAGACGCGCAGCGCGGACGACTGCGTCGTCGTCTGCCCTGCGAGCGGGGAGGTGCGTACACTCAGAGCGTGGATGCTGCGTTCGAACGAAAGTAAATGTAAATGTAAATGCGAATAAATTAAAGGAGAGGAGAAGAGGCGGGACAGAACGCACTTGAACGCGACGACGGTGCTTCGGATGATGCCCACGCGGCGCGCGCGGCGTGTCCAATAGCGGGGTCCGCAACGATGGCGCAAGTGCCGCGGAAATGGAACGGCGCGGACTCGTGCAGGGTGCCGAGCAGGCGGTTGAGGTTGGAGGGTGAGGGTCTGGTACTCGATGAGCTCGGGCGGGTGGACTGGGCGGGAGAAGTCGACGCCGGGAGGGAGGACGATCCGGGGTGGTGGGGGTACCCGCGTGGGGGTGCCGGTGGCGGACGGACGAGGTGCGCGTATGGGTTTGTTGGGTAGGGCGTTCTTGGTGGGGGCGTACGAGTACTAGGTGTGCCTATGGATTACTCCCAGCAACCCATCCCTGCATCAGAGCGAGCTGTTGTGGCGTGGCCGTAGACCGGTAACCGATCTGTCCACGAGACACAAGTGTCGGTAGACAGACCGGTCGATCTGGACTTGAATTCACATGAAGCGCGCTGGCACCGCCACAACGCGTCATCGGCGCGTGGAAAGTCACGTTTGATGCCCCGGACAGTCTGTCTACCGACACTTTTCCCGTAGACAGATTGGTTACCAGTCTAGCGTGGCCGTGCTTTGTGTGTTTTCTGCCCTCCCCCGCCGGGGGAGATACGCAGAAACGCAGGGATAGGGGACATATGGGACACGCCATGGTTGCGTTGCATGTAAATTCGGCGCCGTGGAGGGAATTTACGACAACCCGCCGAGTTCATGGATGAAAAGCAGGCGGGAGAGACGTACTTTGGGTCCTGGGCGGTCCTTCAGCTGCGGTGTGACTGCCTTCGCCTTTCCCTCCCGTATCAACGCCTTTACCTTTGCCTGCGATTCGGTCATCTTCGCCTTTTCGCCTGCGATACCTTGGCCACGCTGCTTCGCGGTAAAAGAAGGACACGTAAGCTGATCGGAATTTGATCCGCGTTTTAGATATGGGATTTGCCGGGGTTCGGGTACATTTACCATTACGCTTTTTTCTTTGGCCGAGCGTCTCCCTCAAGACGCCCACATCATCAGGCAGTCATCTAAGTCCCCGCGCCGGTTGTGTAGCTAGCGCGTCGTAACCATAGTTGGGTGAACTCACCAATCCAGGTCAGCGGCGAGCTGAGGTTCGATTCCCCACAGGTGCATGTGCGTTGCAGTCAACGCTCTTTTTTCACAGGTCTCCCGCATAACTCGGCGATACGGGTTCCGTTCCCGCCGGTGCATTCATTCGTTCGTTCTCCCCATCTTTTTATTCAACCCACCGGAAATACAGAACATGTATCCGATATCGCACTGCACGGGGAGAACGGAGTGCCGGTGGTGTATAGTATTTTGCCATTTTGATGGACACCCAATAAGCTTGAAGGTGGAGGCAGGAAGCACCGGTGGTGTGTGGTACACGCGCCGGCCCTATTTGTGGTGATCTTTCCATTCAAGGCGAGACGGGGCTCGATTCCCCGCTGGTGCATACGTGAAGTCGTTGCAGCATTTTTGATCTCTTTGACTAGTGAGTCCAGAAAAGGTATCGTGCCTGATGAGGTTGAAAATAGTGGGAGGAAGCACCGGTAGTGCATGGTACACACGCCGACCCGATTCCAGATTGTTATTAGAATTGTTCGCGAGCGCGACGGGGTTCGATTCCCCGCTGGTGCATTCTCGGAGAACTCCATTTTTATCCTCTTGAATCATTTATTGCACTGGTGTCGTACCTAATGAGATTTGAAATAGAGGAGGAACGCACCAGTGGTGGATGGAACACGCGTCGAGGCGTCAGTTGATGGTAAAGGAATGAAAGGCGAAGGGGTTCAATTTTCCGCTGGTGCATTCTATGATCACCGCCAAAATTTTATTTTTCTGTTTGAATGCAGAAAAATACATGGCACCTAACAGGGTTGTAGAGAGCACCGGTGGTGTATGGTACACCCACCCATTTTCTGGGAGGAAAAAAGATATGTTCCAACGGTGAGACGGGGTTCGATTCCACACTGGTGCATGGCTAGGATCTTCTCCACCGTTTTTGATCCATTTGCCAATGGAATCCAGAAATGGATCGCACCTACTAAGGTTGAAAATAAGGGAGAAGAGCACCAGTGGTGTATGGTACACACGCTGTTTCTGTTAATGAGAAGCTTTTTCTCAATCAGCGAGTAGGGGTTCGATTCCCCGCTGGTACATTCGTAGGGTTCATCGCTCCTTTTTTTTGTTCTATTTGACGAGTGAATCCACAAAATATAGTGGATATAAGAGGGAGAAAATAGAGAGATGAAAGGGCACCAGTGGTGTATGGAACACCCATCTATTTTCTGGGAAAGAGACATGACAGTTCATCGGTGAGAACGGGGTTCGATTCCCCGCTGGTGCATGGCTTGAGAGCTTTGTCATTTTTGTTCCATTTGATTAGTACATGCGGAAAATGTATCCCACCTACTTAACAAGGTTGATAGAGGAAGGAAGCGCCAGCAGTGTATGGCACACACCTATTCGATGAAATCCCGGTGGTCGTGGTGAGCCGGGGTTCGATTCCCCGCTGACGCATGGCTAGTCTTTGTTCTAACTTTTTGCACCAATTTGACGAGTGGATGCAGAAAGTGTATCACACTTACGCAGGGAGAAAGTAGGAGGAAAAAGCACTGGTGGTACACACGCCGCAGGTGTAGGTTTGAATCAACTGTAATGCGAGACGGGATTCGATTCCCCACCGCTGCATGTTCGCTGCGGCCTCAGATTCCTCTGAAAAAATGTGCACCTACGAAGGTTGAAAATAGAGGTAAGGAGCACCGGTAGTGTATGGCACACCCACCTATTTTCTGAGAGCAAAGAAGTTGTTCAACGGTGAGACGGGGTTCGATTCCCCGCTGGTGCATTTGCCCTCAACAGAGCTTTTTCCCACCCTCAGCGAACTCTTGGAACTTTCATCTTATTTTTTAGTCGCGCGACGGGATCCCCTCCTAGTTGAACTGCAGGTAACCCGGAGCGATCGATGACCGCGACGGACCGGTATCTTCGTGCCGGGAGGATCCTCTTCGATTGAGGAAGCAATCCTATTGCAACCCGCAATTCAATACATACACAGATAGACAGGTCCAAAATTTCCAAGGAGTACGGTATGCATTATAAAACCGCCGGTACATCAGTTCAGGAGGCGCTTCTCCACCCTCTCTCTTTCCCAAAGCTCTCTTACTCATGACCTCATCAAACACATGCACGCGCGTGCTCACGCCCTTCTCGGTGCTTCGCGAAGGAGCGGTCTTGGGGCTGCATGGATGGGGTTGGTTTAACAGGTGTGTGCGAAGGGGGTGAGGATGCAAGAAAAGCGCCTGGTGATTTAATTATGCCGCACGCAGACGTGAAAAACGCATCCGCACCGTTGCGTGAAAAAGCCCATGCACTCGAAGCCGGGCACAAGGAGCACGCCCGTGTGTACACCCTGCAAACGCACCGCGAACGAAGCGGGCCCACCCAATGAAAAACAACACAGAATAAAGCTCATCTCGGGCACGCGGAAATACGTATACACCACACGCAGAAAGCAGAAGACCGTGAAGTTGCCCCACGCCCGGGGTTGAGCACGGAGCAGACAATGCCGATGATGTTGTGGGTTAGCGTGCATAGAGCGAGTTGGATACTGTTCGAAGAAGGAAGGAAACGGGGGAGGGTTAGGTAGGAGAGGGAGGGATGGAAGGGGAAGCGGGCGGGAGGACTGCTCGAAACCGTGGAAGCGCGTACAGGGAGAGATAGGGAGGGAACGACAAAAGAGCTGTGGCGATAGAGGGAGGAAGTGAAGAACAAAAAAATAAAAATGAAAAGACGCACTAGAAATTCCGCCCCAATAACACACTCGTAATTAACAGCCGCCTTGTGCCAAGCTCGCCCACGAGCGAGTACGCGACCGTGCCATGTACTGGTTGATCCCAGCCCAGATGAGCATGAGGCAGCCGGTTGCGAGGGCGGCCTGCGGAGGAGAAGTTAGCGAGGGGAAGAGGAAAAAACGCAAGCAAGCAGGCAGGATGTAGGCTAACAGGACTTCCGACGTGCACACTGAAATGCAGGAGCATTTCACGAAATCATCCCCACGCAAAAAGAAACACCACGCACCCGATCCCTCTCCGGTGCCAGGAAAATCGCCTGTTTGGGACGAGTCGACGACCGGATAAACTTACAATTCAGTCCCGAACCATTATCAATACTGTACATAGAATTCAAATCAAGTCCTACCGAAGGCGGAAGGGCGTGGTAACGACGGGAGATGGACGCAAGGACTTGATGACTTGAACATGAAGCCGTGGATTTGAAAGGGCGCAAGGATTTGAAGAGGACACGAAGGTGGACGCGGGGCTTGAACCTCATCGCGAGAACGGCTCGCAAGAGTCCAAGTCGGATCCGCGAAGTTGATGACCCAGGGCGCGGTGGAAGAATGAGAATGTCAGATGTCGGTGTGGTTCAAGTGCAGTCAATGAAAGAAGACGTGGGCGGCGACCGCCTTAGAAACACTGCAACTCCGTGACAGCGGACACACCTTGCGCGAAGAGCCCGCGGCGTGCTTTTCTCGGACACGAGGCATCTCCGAGGACGAGTATTGTTGAGGCGATGATTCGGAGGCCCATAATGATAGCTGGCGAGAAGGCGACTACCTGGAGATATGGACAGGATTGAGTCTGGGGGATAATAGCGCGAGCCCAAGCACGCATCTTGGGAAGCGGAATCCTCGATCGAAATGAGGCGCAAGGATCGTGTGTGCGGCGCTTGCGTCCGGGGCACCTTGAACAAGAGAGCCTCGACGACTTTGACGCGGACCTGCGCGACTGCGATTGGAATGGCGTCGAGAGGGCGAAGGGAGAGCACGATTACGACGTGTAGTAATGCAACCCTGAAACGCGTCAGATTGAGTAGAGGAAGAGCCAGCCTCGATATCACTCACCTAGCGTGCGTAATACGATGGCCGTGGCGAGCCGCACATAGAACGATGATCAGAGCCGAAGGATGCGACAGTGCACTATAGCTCCGATATTGCCTCAAGCGCGGTGTGCTGCTCCCACCTCCCGCCCCGGTGCTTGAGGGATTGCCTCCAGGCTGTGGTGTGCGAGAGCGATGGGATGGCGGAGACGATAGACGCGGATGCTAGACGCTGCCTGCGGTGCGCGAAGATGGACGTGGAGGCGAGACGATGGCACCGGAGGATCATCAGAGTGGAAGGACAAGGAAGACGAAAGACGCACTGCACTATAGCTTCTCCAGCCCGCCATCCAGCTCCTTCCCTCGTCGGCGCTTGGGGGGCCTGCGGCGCGCAGTTCCATCGGCTCGCCGGGAGCTCGCAAGGAAGAGACTGTCAAGGCTCGCGCCCACCGCCTCCCCGCCCACCATTCCCCTCATAAACTTCGCCGAGTCGACCTCCGCGCACGCCGTAATAACCTTGCTCTCCCCGAGCCTCTTCTGTTGCGTTACACTGCTAAGACTCGCGCTGACGTCCACGGAGAAAATGATGCCCTTGATGAAGATGCCCTCGATGGCGACGCCCCAGTGGTCCACGACGTCCGCGACGATGTCCGCGATCTCGAACGCGATGTTCTCGCACGCGGTGACGACCGACTGCACGGCACGAGTGCCGACGACTTGGCGGAGAGTCGTTTGCGCGCCCTCGATGAGGGCCTTGTCCAGGTCGCAATAGAAATGTGAGTGAGACTTGAGTGAGATTACTACTAGTACGCCGTGATACAACAGAGGCAATACGTACGATACAACGAACCAGAGGTCCGGCTGATTGCAGCCATCCGTGGGCGTGGGCGGCGGCGACGGCGCGGTGCTAGTCGGAATGGGCTGCGACGTACGATGCCGCGAAGGAGCAAGCAAAGATCGTACTCGGACGAGCCAATCACGTCTCGGATCAACGGCCGATGTTGCCGGCAAGTTGCGGCAACGTCCGAGCTGCTTTCCCCTTGCACGACGGTGTCCCTCTGTCCCCATCTCTTGGCAAGGCTAACGCTCCATCCGTTCGAGATGCTGGCAGCGTCTGGCCCGTGAGTCGTATATCAAATAGGCGGACTTGAGGCTAATTAGAGTCACAATATTCGGGATGGTTCAAATTTCAACGCTCAAAAAGTGTGGGATCAGAACCGGGAATTCTTGTGCTAGGGTTAGCGAATACGCAGGGACCAGTGCTGCAACTCTGCCGAACTGTTTCAGTTTGCGTTGGGTTGTATTGCGCCCCAATCACTATACTTGATGCACCATAGGGCTCGATGCGGAATGAATCCTGTGAGTAGTCTCGAGGTTCCCGTCTCGAACCGTAGTTTCTAGTGTCCTGCTGCCTCTTCAACCGACACATCCTTGATCGTAACAATCACCACCTACACAAGGCTACCCCAGCTAGTCGCTCATCGCGCCTACAGGTACCTCGATCCAGCTCCGCATCGTTCCTTCTACTGTGATCCTTCCGCGGACGCATAGATAAGGCCGTTCTCGGTGTCGGGCTTGCCAGAAACGGGGAAGCGAACACCTCGCCGTCGGTACAGAATGAATCCTGTGAGTCGTCTCGAGGTTCCCGTCTCGAATATAAGAAGGGCCGTCAGTGGTTCATAATCTCCATCGCACCGACATGCACTCCCCAGCAATCCAGGCGCTCATTCTTCTGACAGCTCTTACCGTTTCTGCCGGCGCGGCCGCGGCATCGCCGGCCACGTGTGCGGTAACCCACTACCCGTGCGGGACATTAAAGAACCGATTTACCCGGACAATAGAATTTGTCGACTGCTGCCCCGATGCCGGTACGTGCAGGTACTTTGGCATCCCGCCATTCGAAGGCATTGGGGTGAGACGCGATATTCCAATAACAAGTAGACTGCAGCCTGACTTTCGGCAAATCTGTAAAAAAATGTATCGCAAACGGGGGCGAGTGTAACACAGATGCTACGTATGGTACCGACTGTTGTCCCGGGCTCGAGTGCGGCGGGGGGAGCGCTGAAGTAGCTGACGTTCGTCGTACTACGCCCTCCCACACCGAAACGCTCATTTCTGCTGCAGATATGTCGTCCCCCGGCCTGCACAGTAACAGGCGGCAAATGCGGCTACGTTAAAGGCCAATTTGTTCAGTGCTGCGACCGCAGCGAATGTGATAATGCCGTTTACTGCACCTGTATTGCCACGACAAAATGTTCATTGAAGGGTGAACCATGTGGATTCAAGGCCAACAACAAGTTTTGTTGTGCCGGCGATCCGGGAATAGGGAGACTCAGACAGAACTGTGTCTTTGACATCAATGGGACCGGGGTCAGTCCGCATTCCCTTCTATCCCCATCCATGGCCGCTGACTCGGCTGCAGATATGTACTATCTGAGGATCGGGGGAACGACACCTGTAACGAGTACCCTTAAATCTTCCGCAAATATGACCCACATAGACACATCAACTTTCGCTTTATATACTATGACCTGCCGTGTACTACCTTCCTCTGCTTTCCTTTGTTCCAGCGGGACCGGCTAGCTCTGAGGAAATCAGGCGGAAGAGATCTTAAATGGTGTTCACTTGTTTTCTCGTGAGCGCAACCATCTCCATCTCCGCCACTGCCGCAGCAAAGCGGAGGCACATCCTTGGAAACGAGCTCTGAACTCCTTTTCCATTCGCCTGACTCATGTCCCCCCGCGGATTATTTGCTGCCTGCCGAATCCTACGCCACCTGGATCAGGTTGAAAAAACGTATTTATGATGAAGTTCACGTTCGCATTCGATTGCAACTGCCTCTCCATTGTGCCGGATGAGGCTCTCATATCGCCGTAATTTGCCCCGTACTTCTATCAACCGAAAGCTCACACTGTTCCGACACCGTAGCCTGAGCCTAGCAATTTCGAGCTCCAGCTCCAGTCGTCCAGC